CATGCTGGGTAGCAATGTTAAAGTAATAAATGCACTTGCAATAAATATTTTACTAGGCATGAAAAAAATCATGTTTTCATACAAGCAGAATAGTCATGGAATGTAATATTGTCTGGTATCATGCTGAGCTGCTTGGACCAGTTTAACACTGGCAGAAGTTAAGTAGTGGTAGCTACAGAACTTCAGGCTGAAAATGTGTAGGATTTCCTTGGCTGACAAAAACGTTCATGCATTGCTTAGTACAGTGCTCTTAAAATGAGTTGAACCACATTAGGGGAGAGGACTGCAAAGCATTTATGTGCCAGAGCCTCTAGCACTCTTCTCTTTTTTGTTGCCTCATTGTTACAATGGGTCAACCTGTATCCTTATTTAAGCATGTTGTTTTCTCCCCTCCCCTCCCCAAATTAGAGAAGTATACATACAAGATGTAGGGCACTGACATCAAATACAGTGAAAATAGGGGTTATACCATGGGGGAGCAACATATAAAGCAACAACAAAATCACATGGTACATTATAAATACATTAGAAACAATGGCAAGAAAGAAAAAAAGATATGTCTCTATCTTTGGGTTCATTTTGCTTATATGGTCATATGTACATAGCTTTTCACCTTTTCTGCTTGTCCTATGCATGTACTAGTTATTGCAAGTAAGGGAAACCATGGGACCTATGTTTCTTTGGGCCTGGCTTACTTCACTTAATATAATTTTTTCCAAGTCTTTCCATGTCCTAACAAATGGGGCAATGTCATTCTTTCTGATGGAGGTATAGAATTCCATTTTTTTGTGTGTGTATACATATATATATATGGATATATGTATATACATGTCATATTTTCTTGATCCATTCATCTGCTGAGGGGCATGTGGGTTGGGTCCATATCTTAACTATGGTAAATAAACTAGCACTCTTCTTACAGAGCCATTTTATAGACAGGGTAGGAGAACACTGAGGCGAAGAGAATATGAACTTACTTTTACAATACGACTAAATGGAGGGGAATTCTGGGAAAGGAGAGACTTGGAAAAAAACCTGTATGTTCCCCCATCCCTCCTCTGAATCTGTCCTCTCGTCAATCTCAACAATTTTTAAAATGAAATAGGTTACAATGAATTTCAGTGAGTACACACAAAACAGTTAACAAGACGGTGAAGGGCAATTAAATGGAGGGTTTCTGTACCAGTGAAAATAATATTGAGGCCTAACATATGAATATGGCTCTTTATTTTTTTTGTCACTCGTGGTGCTTGAACTCTGGGCCTGGGTGCTGTCCCTCAACTCTTCAGCTCAAGCCTAATGCTCTACCACTTGAGCCAAAGTACCACGTCCGGTTTTCTGAGTGGTTTATTGGAAAAAAGAGTGTCATGGACTTTTCCTGCCTGGGCTGGCTTTGAACTGTGATCCCCAGATCTCAGACTCCTGAGTAGCTAGGATTACAGGCGTGAGCCACCTGCGCTCAGCCATGAATTTGGCTCTTAAGGGCCTCTTCAGAACTAGTGAAACCATTTCTTTCTCACAAAGTGTGAGACCAGGCACAGTTTTTTCTGTGTGGAGCTCCATAGCAAGAACTCTGTGTGAGAAAAAAAGAGCTTTATCTTTAGAGTAATACAAGTCCTCCATCTTAAGGAAATACTAGACAGACTACTTCAATATAAGAAGAAAATGGGAGTAGAGTGACTTAGGAATTGCTTCTTCCTGGAATTTCGTGACATTTCCTGATAGTAGCATTGAAGATGAAGACACAACTGCCAAACAGCTCAAATGGGGCTCCAGTAGCCTAGAGAAATTGTGAATATCATAATTGGTAAGAAGTGATCTTAGGACTGTGCATTTCCCTTCCCCTGTTTTGGCGATAGAATGTCTTGACTGTTAACAATCAGGACAGGAACTTATGAATTAGTATTATTTGGTGACCACCTGTTGACCCAATCCTTGTCTAGGATTTAAGGTTTCTGTCTATTAATCCTTTCCTGACAATAACTTACAAGTCAAATCCCATTTTAATGAATGTAATTTTGAGATAATAAAACTGTTTAGTAAAACCATCTTGTAGAACAGATGCATCCATAAATCCCTGTTCATGAAGCGCTCAATCTATCAAATTAAGATGCTGTTGTTTGAATTCAGTATTTATGCTTTCTACTTTAATTATGTTCAATGGCAAGGTTTGCCATGCCAAAAAAAGAGAAGACCGATCATTTCCCCTTGTGGACAGGTTGAGCTACATGATCTCAAAGGGTCTTTCTAGTTACAAAAAAAATGGACTGTTTATATCTAAAATGATATCAATAGGGGCCAGTGAAAGAAAAATAAAGCAATTCAGGTCTTGGGTAAGTTAATGATGAACTAGGTAGTATCTACCTGCTCAAATATCACTTCCAAGATTATTCCTAGTCTTAAGGAATCTCAAGAAATCCATGGAACTATGAATTTAGGAAATTTGTTTGAATACTTCCAAGGGTAACACCTGTGAGGGGAGACAGAGTTGGTCAATTGGGAAGAAAACTGAACTTCAATGCACTCACATCAAAGGCCTTATCCAATCCTACATAGAGCTCTAGAGTTGGGAAGACCCTTCAGTATTGTCCAGAATGGACATAAGGAGTCTGGGTCTTTTTGACTCCATGTATACCAGTCACTAGGTGCAGTCAAACCCAGAGAAAGAGGGTAATATATGTGGTAATATATTTTTTTGTCGGTTGTGGGGCTTGAACTCTGGGCCTGGACACTGTCCCTCAGTTCTTCAACTCAAGGCTAGCGCTCTACCACTTGTGCCACAGTACCACTTTCAGTTTTCTGGTGGTTTATTGGAGATAAAATCTCATGGACTTTCTGGCTGGGGCTGGCTTTGAACTGCAATCCTCAGATCTCAGCTTCCTCTGTATATAGGATTACAGGTGTGAGCCACAGGCACCTGGCTGTGCTAACAATTTTGTAACCATCATCTCCTTCATGGGAGAGGGGTGGGGATCCAGATTTGTGGTACTTGCTGATTTCCATTGTGTAATCACTCCTCTCATGACCAATTTCAAGCTACTAAAATGATACTATCTGGCTCAAGGGACCCCTGAAAATTTAACCACAAGCTCTGATGAATCAGCTTGAGCCAACCCTAGGACTTGGCTAAAGACACATGACCTTGAGCAAGACACGTCTCTTCAGCTGTGGGTAATTAATTAGCTATTGGTTACTAAAACTCCCAGGAGATAGCGAAGTGTATATCTGGATGCTACATACTAATAGCACTGTCTACATACACTGAAGTATTTTCTGTAGTTCAACTGACACAAAAGGACTTAGCTCTAACATTTTCCGTGCACTAATTTTCATATCCCCTAAGGAACTTATATGGAATTGTATTAAGTAACCTTGATCAAGTCATTTAATCTGTCTTTGTAGGAGAAATATGCTAATACTGACTTACTTGTTAAGAATACTGTCAGATGAACTGGCCAATGAAAGCACATTGCCTAGCTCATTTGTTCCTCTTAACAGGACTATGACTAGGGCTACCATGACCCAATTCATGTTTAATGGTGTAGCCAAGTACAGAGAGTAACGCCTTCATTCCTAGCTTCTCATTCTGAATCCAACTCTTGCCATGTTAATTCTCCCTGACATTACCTCCTCCCATTTTATAATATGTCATTATGAGCAGTTGAGGTTGAATTTCTTATTTGGCTCATGGACAAGCTCCAAAGATATCCTTAGAAAATTTTAAATGCACATAAACCTCTTATAGTAATTATTTTGAAGTAGCTAATTGTCATTTAAAAACTCAGTTTATGCTGTGCTACGGGATGTGGTGTGTGTGGGTGTATGTATGGTATTTGAAGAAATTTTATAACTTACTAGTTACTTTGAAAAAATAAATGATACCAGCCATTGCTCCAAAAGGAAACTTTCTCAGAGTATTTAACAAGGGTAGAAAACAGGCTTTTGAAAACAGATGAAGCAATATGTAAATGCCCAAGACCACTCATTGAATGTAGTTAAGCACACTTAGTTCCTGAGATTAAAGATTCCATGTAAGCATGTATAATTAATATTTACCAATGGCAATAGGACTTTTGCCTTTCTTCAAGGAGCTCAGAACACTTGCCAGGCATTATCTAATTAAACTACTCAATGTACCTGTGAAATGCACTGGAAACTACATTTTAAATGTGGGCACTGAAGCACAAGTGGGCTTAAACTAAACTCATTTAGCATGCCAAGGAAGAAATTAGATATAAGACTTTCAGTCTCATGATCTAGCTGCCATTCTTCAACCATGGCCCCCCTAATCCACTCTATTCTAGCATAACTTTGCCAAACAACATTGTTTCATAAATCTAAGAAGAATTAAATTGAGCGCAAAGTAATTCCAATTATAAGAAAGTTAGATTTAAAAAGTTGAACCGATCACCCATAATATTAGTAGCATTTATGGATGAGTATGATTTAGTGTCATTCATTGTCTACAGTGCCCTTGGTAAGGGTGAGAACAATTGGTCAAAATGTATTGGAAAGAATACTTTTAGGAGGTGGAGAATAAAAGTAGGGGCTAGGGGACTATCTTCTACCCTCTTCTTCTAGTTTTTGTATCCTTAGGTACATTAGTATCTTCTGTTTATTAAATGTCATGAACTAAGCCCATTATGTGTATTGTTTCCTTGAATCATCACTACTTCTCCATGAAGCCCAGGTTACCTCTCTACTTTATGGCTGAAGCAGAGAGAGGTTAATTTACTCAAAGGTATTCAGCTAATAGATGGTTGTATTAGGGTAATAAACCTATCACTTCTAACCCCAATGCCTCTTTGTTGTGCTACCTGCCACTTATCCAGAGTTCCTGAACATACCTCAGCCTCAGCTCAGGACCTCAATAACTTGTTCTTCTTGGAGGTATAGCAAAGAAATAATTTATAAATTTGTTTATTCATTTATTTTCCTCATCTATAGTTTTTGCTGCTGCATTTGACTACCAGAACCTCCTTGCTTTTTTTTTTTTTCAGTAATCATCATGTGTATGCACTCGGCCTTGATTGGGGGAGAGACCCAGACACGCCTCTTGGAATGGGCTCATGATCTGAAAATGACCGATGGAACTTATGTCTTTGTTCCCTATGATACCCTGCTCTACAGTTTACCTTATAAGCACACCCCCTACCAGGTCCTAAAGAACAACAAGAAGCTCCGGGAAGCCTATGATGCTGTGTTGACCATTACAGTGGAGTCCCAAGAAAAGACCTTCTACCAAGCCTACACAGAAGCAGCAGCTAATGGTGAAATTCCCAAGAAACTGGAGTCACATCAAGTAAGTGCAGATGCACAAGTTTTCATGAGCTAAGAACCTCAAAAATTGGGACAATGGGTTTTTCCTATCTATATATTTGATTCCAAAGAAAAGCCAATCAATAGCAGATACAAATCAGAACAGCATTTCCTTATAGAAAACACTTAAGTCCTTACAGAAAATACTTAAATAACAAAGACAAATTGTAGAATTTTTTTTTCATCTTCAAGCAACCAACAAGATATATTCATGAAGCCCAAACAAAATATATTTAAGAATAGGGCAACAAAACTTTAACATACGCCAGTACTGTTCAAGGGAGCCTCTTAAATAGTCTTATTTATGACCAAGGTTCTGAAGGAATTCAGCAATATGAGAAGAAAATGGCAACTTTATTATTGATAATGCTATTATTGAAGAGTGTAGCTTCTATTTGTAGGCATTTGAGCTTCTAAATACTGGATTTGAGAATTAAATTTTCATCTAGTCACTAGCATTGCTGAACCACTGGAGGAGGGAAGGAAGCAACACACTTCTGATAGGTAGTCCACTCCCAAGATTAAGAAGAGTGGCTTGATGTATGCATACTAAATGCCCCTTGTAAAACAAGCAAATTAAAAAGTAACTCAGTTCTCCTTTCTAGGGATGAATAAGTCAGTGGGTAAAGAGAGCCCAGAAATAAACTGATTAGTAAGGAATCATTTGGGCTGGAAAAGAAGTCTTCCTTTCCAATACAGGAAAAAGGATTTGTACAAATATATGTGCACATAAGTATAGATATATTTCATTTTAGGCAACCAAAGTTCAAATTATAGCCACTTACAGTCCAGATGAAGAGAAAGGAGTAGCGAGAGGAAAAAAGCAGAGAAAAGGGTGGCAAACAAAGACAAAAATAATGAGGAAGAATGCAAATAGGATGAAAAATGAGAGATAGGGAGGCAAGAGAAGTCAGTTCGATTAGAAAAATGCATATGGCAGTTTCTTTGTTTTGATTTCTTGATATAGGATCTTTGCATGAAGCTCATTCTGGACTCAAACTTTCTTTCTTCTTCTTCTTCTTCTTTTTTTGGTCTCAAACTTTCTATGTAGCCTAAACTTGCCTCTAACTTGTGATCTTCCTGTCTTTGTCTCCCAGGTGCTGGGATTATATGTAGCACCACCACACCCAACTCCTGTACTCCACTATATAGGTTAGAATCAGATGCAGACCATGAACATTTTTTTAGAATTATTTATTTATTTATTTACTTATTTATTTTTATTGTGAAAAATACCGTACAGAGGGGTTACAATTACATGGGCAAGATAATGAGCACATTTAACTTATCTTGGGGTTCATTTCACCTAACATCAACTTATCTGACCTTTTCTGCTTGTCTCAGACATATACTAGTTATTGCAAATAAGGGAAACCATAGGACCTATGTTTCTTTGGGTCTGGCTTACTTCACTTAATATAATTTTTTCTAAGTCTTTCCATTTCCTAACAAATGGGGCGATGTCATTCTTTCTGCTGGAGGTATAGAGTTCCATTGTGTATGGTTCCTCAAAAGACTCCACATATGACCCAGAAATCCCACTTTTGGGCATTTACCCAAATGAACACAAACAAGACCATACTAAAGCTACCAGTACAACTATGTTTAGAATTATTTAGAATGACACATATATAAGTTTTCAAGTTCAAGTATTTACTAGTATACTGTATCAGTTTTATTGATTCAGACTCTTAGCACCTCAACACAAATTGGCCTATAGAACAAATCGTTTTTATAAATGAAGTAGAGGAGCTCCCAGGTGGATTTAACTCAGAAATTCAATAATGTCATCAATGAATCAGGTTCTTTTCAACATTATTTTTACAAGCAATGCTATACTAGCATTCCCTTATAATGCTTGTCTTCTTATGGTTCCCAAATGATATTTGTAGTCCTTACATGCAAATGGAAATATCCTCTCTTGTTCTCTGTTCAAGAATGAGAAAATTGCTGGGTGTTGGTGGCTCACGCCTATAATCCTAACAACTCAGGAAGCTGAGATCTGAGGATTGTGGTTCAAAGCCAGCCCGTGCAGGAAAGCCTGTGAGACTCTTACCTCCAGTAAACTACTAGAAGACTGGAAGTAGCACTGTGGCTCAAGTGGTAGAGTGCTTGCCTTGAGCTCAAGACCTCACGGGAAGCAGCCAGGCCCAGAGTTCAAGCCCTACGATGGACAAAAAAAAAAGTGACTATGAAAAATATTAGCATTGCTGAATCCAAATTTTCTTGTTAAGGGTATGCCTATAATCTCTCTTTTAGGAGACACACAGGCACATATAACTTGAAACAACTGGTCAATTTAGTCAAGAATTGTAAGGAGCCTTGAATTGCAAACAACTGTTGATCAAACTAGTTTTGTGCTGTTTTTATAGGTGGCATTTTAATAGTTTTTAGCCAATAATATGGCATCAAATAAATAAACTCTATGTCATCTTTCTACTTTTTCTACATTACTAATAGGTTGGAGGGAAAGAGGTGTGTGTGTGTATGTGGTACATATGTATGAGCACATATGATATACAAACTCAGACCTTGCACTCTTGATATTTGATTCAATCCCTTTGAGTCTGTGGAAAACATAAGGTAATTAAGGCAAAAAAAAAAACAAACCCAAAACCCGAGACGCCATTAGCTTGGTTGCTAGGCAGCACGCACTCTGCTTTAGACAAGAGAGCTACAACAAAGAATCCAAAGCTTATTTTTTTTAAAGCCTGCCTGGATGCATTTCTACTCTCTCTTTGTAGGTATCTAGGTTAGACCATCAATCAAAAAATAATAAAAGATGATACAATTATCTTCATGTCTCTGATAAGCAAAACCGCCATTTTCAAATTTACTCCGATGAAATGTATTTTTGAAGGCAGTTGGTATAGCAGGAAGAACATATGATAAGGAGTTAGGCAAACTTGTGTTTAAATCCCAGCTCTCAGGAGAAAGATTGATCAAATGAGTACTAAGTTACAGTTAAATAGGATAAGAAGTTCTGGCATGGTAGAAGTGACTATAGATAATAAAAATATAGATTTCCAAACCTAGAGGAAATAATTTTGAATTTTTTTTGCCAGTAACATATGATGAATGATATAAAAGACATACGTTTAATTTGAGTTAAACATTGTACAAATATCATGTGTTATCTTATTAGCATGTATAATTTTTATATTTTGTGTATCAGTTAAAGAAATTTATAAAAATATAAATTCAAGTTCTCAAGGTCTTATTAGCTTATGTAGATTGCTTGGAGTTTATAGTTCTGTTTCTCCAGCTGTAAAATGAGGAGCTATGTCTTCCAGGATTATTGTGAAAATTAAACAGAGTAACATGTCTGCAGTGGTTAGAAAAATGCCTAGCTCACACCTACCTTCTTTATCATTGTTTCTCTGTTGTGACCAGAGTGACTTTGTTGGTTGATGGTGACCCAGTATCTACATTACAATTTGATTTGGCTTCCTATACTTTTGAAGTTTTCTCATTACTGGCAGAGGTTTTCTCACTTTTAGAATCTTAAGTGGTATTTTCTCAGATCAGATTATAGCATTCCTTCAGTATGCCTACCTATCTCTTAGATTTCTGCTGCTTTTTCCCCACCCTATTCAGTCATCAGGCAAATTATTTATGGAGTTACTGCCATGTAGTAGGCACTATAACAGTAAACAACACAGGAAGTTTTTGTCTGGTATATTACAGCCAGTTCACTGAAGCCAACTGGGTACCTTTTATCCCCCAGATCTGCTCAGTGTCATTATTTTGGTAACTTGAAATCAGGCAAGGTTGAAGTATTTATATGACAAAAAGGCAAATATAGAGACATTGTTAAGCATATTTTAGTATATTACAAATGTGTAAGCAAATACATTAACAAGATGATTGTTATTCTCTTGCCCAGAAACTTTCAACGAAATTGAAAATTTTATATGTAAGCTACATTACCCACAACAGTGGTTTGCAATTCCTTTGAATTTATTTTTTGCTGCTTTAGAAAGTAAAGTAAGCTGGGTACCAGTGGCTCAAGCCTGTAATCTCAGTTCCTCTGGAGGCTGAGATATGAAGATAACAGTTTGAAGTTAGCCTGGGAAAGGGAAGTCCTTGAGATTTTGATCTCCAATTAGCCACTGAAAAGGAAGTATGGCTCAAGTGGGAGAGCTCTAGCCTTGATTGAAAAACTAAGGGGCAGTGCCTAACTACTGTGTTCAAGCCCTAATACCAACACACACACATACACACACACACACACACACACACACACACACACACACGCACGCACTTATTTTTAATTTAAATCTATATAGGTAGCATTTTTAGCACAATGCCTAAGTATGATGATAGAGTAAAAATCAAAAGTTTGTGTGTGGTATGAATTACAACCATTGTATACCACATGAATTGGAAAATGTTACCTTATACACAAAATAAACATACCTTAATTTGAATTTGTAATTCAGCCCACACTTCCTGACACGGCATAAAATCCTCTCAAAACAATTTTATACATGGTAAAACCTGATAAATCCCTCATTAATTTTGTTTTTCATGAAGCTCTCTATCCTCTTATTCCCATCTGAACTTACTAATCATAAGACTGTTGCACATATATTATGCTGGAAACTCCATCTTCATCAATCTGGAAATTCCTGTTCTCTTTTTCTTCTATGCTAAGTTGACTATTTCATGCCTTTCATGACTCCCATTTTCTTGGTTTATTCGGTCATTTTTTATGGAGCACATCTTTATTGGTTTCTCAGAAAGGTACACAGGAGTTAAAATTTTGACATTTTTTGCATGTAAGTAAGTCATTATTCTGTCCTCACTATTGATTAATAGTTTGGTTGAGTATATAAATCAGAGTGTAAAATCATTTCCCCCCAGTCTTTTGATGACATGGCACATTGTCTTCTAATTTCTACTGTTGGTATTGAGAAGAGCAATGCAGCTGTTATGTATAATCTTTTAATGTGACTTGTTTTCATTCCTCCACCTGGCAGA